TGTGTGTGTGTGTGTGTGTGTGTGTGTGTGTCTAATAAGTTTGCAAATACACCTTCATCTCCTGATGAAGAGACACAAATTATAACTAATTCTGCTAAACGTCCAAGTCTCCTGTCCCAGCAGGGCTGAGACAAGCATCCTGCTTTTGGTGGGAATGTGGGGTTATTACCTGAAACCAGGCAGCAGCCTCTCTATGACTATGTAAAATCAGAGGCTACAGATGCCCTAAATACTGTCCTATGCCAAAAATATCTCTACCATCACCCCTGCCTAGGCTACCAGTTCCCAACCTGGAATTTCCCACTTCACTTATTTCTCTGGGTTGAAGTTCAGCATCCAGGAAGACCCAAGTAAAATAGCAATTAATCTGCAAGGGACCAACTTGTTATAACTCACTAACCCTTTGTCATGCATTCATTCATCTCTTACAGAGAGTTGGGTCCTAAGGAATGGGACAGTAGAAAGATGGGTTTTCCTAGAGAGGGTCTGGAGTATGGGAACTGGTGAAGGAGTAGGAGTGGGGGTCATGGAGTTATCTTGGATGAGGATGGAAGGGCAGCATACAGCTCTGGGAGATGCTTTGGATGGCCAAGACAAAGCAAAGTGTTTTCTTTGGTCAGGAATCCAGGGCGGCACTGCCCAACACCACAGGCTATGAGGTAAATGGCACCCTGGAGCTGTGCAGTGTGGCATTGGGGGTTGCAAATGGATGCCAGTCTTGCCTGTGTCACTGGGGAAACGGGAGAGTCGAATGAACTAAAGCAGTGGTCCCCAACCTTTTTGGCACCAGAAACTGGTTTTGTGGAAAGCAGTTTTTCCATGGACCAGGATGGGGGTGGAGACGGGCAGGAAGGAATGGTTTGGGGATGAAATTGTTCCACCTCAGATCATCAGGCATTAGTTAAGTTCTCATAAGGAGCGTGCAACCTAGATCCCTCACATGCTCAGTTCACAATAGGGTTCATGGTCCTATGAGAATCTAATGCTGTCGCTGATCTGACAGGAGGAGGAGCTCAGGTGATAATGCTCACTCACCCAGTGCTCATCTCCTGCTGTGAGGCCCAGTTCCTAACAGGCTATAGACCAGTACTGGTCCATACTATGGGGGTTGGAGACCCCTGAACTAAAGGATTGGAAACTACTTTGATAAGTACAATGTAGGTAAAACGGAAGCCTCCATTAGAAACCGCAATAGACCCATTGTGGTTTCCTGAAATGTTTTTTCATTCAAATGCTTTAGCAGCCACAGAGTGTGGAGTGTTAATAGTTTATCTGCAGCTGGCTATCAGAAGACACATGGAGTACGACGCAGGGCTGAGATTCAGACAGACATCAATGGGAGCTCTCACCGACAACTTCCAATGAAACACACCTAACATGCCTATGGAGAGAAATGTTGGAATGTATCTATATCATCATCATTTAGAAGCTATAAAAAGCTCTCATGGGCAAAGGCTTGCTTATCCTTAAAGACTCCCTTGAAAAGTCTTTTCAGACATTCATAGATAAAGTATCCTCCCATAGCTCCTTTGTCCTATTTCAGAAAAGCATTTGTCACTTGGTCTTGTAATGATGAGTCAATACGCTTCTTTATACCATTCAGTTGTGAACTCTTAGGACTGAAGGGTATCTTCGGGCTGAGGACATGTCCCCAGATGGAAGCACTGGGCAGAACACATAGGCATTTCCCACTGAGCACTTTTTGAAATAAATAAATAAAAGGTCACAGAAAACTGAAGCCTCTGTAATCTTTTCTTTTCCTCAAAAGCATAACTTAATAAATGTGCAAAATGCACAAACTTACTTGCATAATCAACCTTTGGCCTCCCTCCTCAAGTGTCAAGGGAGCAAGAAGATGAAAGGGAACATAGTTAAGAAAGATAATGCCATCTTCTATCCATCCAAGGGAGGGGGAGTAATTTCTATGACCATTAAATGCTGGAAGATTGACGTGGGCATGCTCTGCTCGGCTCCCCCGTCTTTTTCCGGAAGCTGGCTGCATCTGGGAATATACATTCTCTGTCTCTCCTCCAGGGGTGAGCTCCCAGTTAGCACTGCCTGAGACAGGGGATCAAGTCTGTTCAATTCTGAGGTCCTATTAAGCAGGCCCATGTGGTTCTTGCACTAAACTACACCCTCCATCTTAGTAATGAGGTACTATTTTGGTCTCCTCCTGTTTCTTTTTCCTATTTCTCAAGCAACAGTGAGATGTGATGATTTTAAATTAATTGCATGATATATTTAACCCTGCAAAATGCTAATACTTGATCTGTTGTTTGACCTGGTTGTTTTACGGGGCTTTATCATGGGAAAAGAGAGCCTACAGATATTTCTTGGCTCCAATAGAGAATATAAGATTATCAGGGATTTATAAAGATGGAGTAGGCTGGGTGTGGTGGCTCACAACTGTAATTCTAGCACTTTGGGAGGTCTAGGTGAGTGGATCACCTGAGGTCAGGAGTTCGAGACCAGCCTGACCAATAGGGTGAAACCCTGTCTCTACTAAAAATACAAAACTTAGCTTGGCATGGTTGTGGTGCCAGTAATTCCAGTTGGTCAGGAGGCTGAGGCAGAAGAATCACAAGAACCCAGGAGGTGGAGGTTGCAGTGAGCCCAGATCATGCCATTGCCCTCTAGCCTAGGTGACAGAGTGAAACTCTGTCTAGAAAAAAAAAGAAAGTAAGATTAAGTAAACTGTAAGATTAAGGTCATCACCTGTGACCTTAGAAGGTCCTTTCACAGATGGTTATGAACCATGGCGACTACCCATGATCCCTTCCTGATGACAAGCATGGTGATGACAATGGTAATTTGATGGATAGCTGGCCTTCTTTTAGAGATCACTATAGGCCAGGCCGTGTGCTAAGTGTTTTACATGCAATATCCCATTTATTCTAGCAAGTCTGTGAAGTAGGTATTTATCCTAAGTTATAAATGAGCAATCCAAAGAAATCAGCTCAAATGACAGAAATCAGGTCATTTGACAAAGATCACACAGTTGGTAATGGCTGAGAAGGAACTTGAACCCAGGTCTCCTAGCTTCAAATCTCCTCTCAGAGTTGTGATTTTAGGAGGCCTTCACCAGAATCAAGGCACACACTACAGTTCACAGTCTCTGTGCAGGTGACTAACAAGAATGGACCTAAGACCATGGCTGTCTCCATACTGCAGGAAGTAGTGCAGGAAGTGGCAAAGATGCATTTGTGAGCAGTAAATGAATGGAGCTTTTCTTTTGGTTTTCAGCTTACTCCATATCCCTTAAAACCATAACACTCATGGATACTGTAGTCTATAAAATCAAACCAAAATTACTTACAAGCACTGGAAAAATCTAAGCAGTGGTGTGCCAGCAAATATTTAACAATTGGTTCTCTGAAACAAACAAACCAACAAACAAAAAGCTGTAATATGTAGCATCTGCCAATTTTCATGCTGTAAATACTTCCAGCATAGCCAGTTTCAAGCTACCAACTTGACAACTCTGGATGTGGCGTTGAGAAGAGATGCATCAGATTGGTTCTTCCCAGCTGGTAGGAACCTGCTTCAGCACACCACTGAGTCTAAGCAACCCTGTAAAGTGAAATTTGGGGGAAGAAGATGAGAACTAAGCCTCTTCCCATTAATCTGAACTGGGAAATGTGTCTTCCATTTATTTGTGTTTTTCTATATTGTATACATTTATTTCATTCCACGTGTGCCATCACAGGCTAAAGTACAGTTCCACAAAAGCTGTGATGGGAGGAGGCAAAAGTCATAGAGAACATGGTTCCTACCTTGTACATACTCAGCCCCCTCTAGAGTCACACATCTGAACTCACTAAACCTCACAGCAACCCTGTAAGGTGAGGGAGACAGAATAGTGAGTGTTAGGCCAGGCACAGTGGCTCATGCCAACATTTTGGGAGGCCGAGGTGGGTGGATCATCTAAGGTCAGGAATTTGAGACCAGCCTGGCCAACATGATGAACTCTATCTCTACTAAAAATATAAACATTAGCTGACCACGGTGGCAGGTACTTGTACTCCCAGCTATGCAGGAGGCTGAGGCAGGAGAATCACTTGAACCTGGGAGGTGAAGGTTGCAGTGAGCTGAGATCCCACCACTGCACTCCAACCTAGGTGACAGAGTGAGACTCTGTCTCAAAAAAAAAAAAAAAAAAAAAAAGGAATAGTGTTTGTTTTAGAGATGAGGATACCAAAGCTTTATGTGATCAGCCTAAGGTCATACAGGGATATGAAAGACTATGTCTTGAAGCTGTTTCTTTCTCCCAGTCTAGAGATTGTCATTTGCCACTCATCCCTCCTCACTGGGGAGTAATTGTAGGGTAAGGTCAATGCTGATTCCTTAATATGAGTGTCTCAGGGTCCTATTAATACTTGCTTTTCTCTTCTACATAGCAGTTTAATAGCAGGTTGTAGCCTTCGAAATTCCTTTGGCCTCCATACCCAAAGAATGATTTTCCATTTCCTTTAGATCAAGTCCTCTCTCCTTTCAATAGCATATTTTCAGTAGAAAGAATGCAATGGCCCCACAGCTGCTACTCCACTTGGTAAATGCAGTGGAGGCTGAACAAAAACTGGGTTGGGGTAAAAGAAAAAAAAAAATTGGGTTGATAACCACCAAAGTTGATTCTTTTCTCCCATGAGATTTACTGAAAATTCAGGTGAACTACCTTTGTATGACTAAAAGAGACTTAGCGAAAAATAGCTGAGTTTCCATTAACCAAATTTCCTGGAACCAAAGGAAAATTGTGCACTTGGTTGCACATTTAAAATGGGAACTGCAAGTATTAAAAGAGCAAAGCATCACATTTAATAATCATGAGGTGAGGCTTAATGATAAACTACTATATCTACATATGTGCATCATGTACTTGCAAAAAATATCAGACTGTTGGAGCAAAACTTAAGGAACTATGAATGCTAATTTGCTAGTTTATCTGAAATGTCTACCTGTTCTTAATTACCTCTTTTTTTTTTTTTCCTAAGAAGTAAGCTTGAATCTGGCCTTAAATACTTTTTTTTTTTTTTTTTTTGAGACAGAGTCTCACTCACTTCGTCACCCATGATGGAGTGCGATGGCACGATCTCCACTCACTCTAACCTTTGCCTCCCTGGTTCAAGCGATTCTCCTGCCTCAGCCTCCCAAGTAGTTGGGATTACAGGTGTGAGCCACCACGCCTGGCTAATTTTTATATTTTTAGTAGAGGTGGGGTTGCACCATGTTGACCTGGCTGGTTTTGAATTCCTTACCTCAGGTGTTCCATCCACCTTGGCCTCTCAAAGTGCTGGAATTACAGGTGTGAGCCACTGTTCCTGGCCTCTTAATTACTTATTAATCAACCTGGCTTTCTCTGAGTTCTCAGAGGAATGGGACATTCAAATTTAACTTAAACAAAATCCATGAGAACATATACCCAATACAAATGCTTTGAAGCTGCAGAATATCAAAAGCCATTTTAGTTGAATTCTATTTAGTAATCTTCTCCTCAGATTTTTTTCTTTTTAAAAGCCTGTTTCCAACATAATTAGAGAGAAGGCATTATGCTAAGATTCCTAGTTTGCTCTCAGAAACGCCCCTTCTTACTTTCTTGATGTTTTTTTGGATGGCAGAGAGAAAAGGGCCATGTTTTAGCAGGGTCCCTATGATATGAGTAGAAACACTTTACTTATCGTTAGAAAGCTGTGGTTACCTTGGCAGGGAGTAGCCACCTTGCTAGGGAAGCTCCCCCAGGTTGTATCTCTGGGAATCAGCCCCCAGTTAACCAGGCAGTTCTCTATTTATTGTATTTTTGTATTTGTGACTTAACCTTTAACACAGACTTCTTTCTTTTTGAGATGGAGTTTCACTCTTGTTGCCCAGGCTGAAGTGCAATGGCACAATCTCAACTCACCGAAACCTCCACCTCCTGGGTTCAAGCGATTCTCCTGTCTCAGCCTCCTGAGTAGCTGGGATTACAGGCATCCGCCACCACACCCAATTAATTTTTTTTTTTTTTTTTTTTTTTTTTGCTAGAGTTGGGGTTTCTCCATGTTGGCCAGGCTGATCTTGAACTCCCGACCTCAGGTGATCTGCCCACCTCAGCCTCTCAAAACGCTGAGCCACCATGCCCGGTTTATTCCAGGGACCTGGAATAAACCAATCTAAACCTATTCTAGAATCTGCTTTACATTTCTTTCATTTACCAGGAGAGAAAGAAATAATCCCAGGTTGTTTGCAGATCAAAAAAGGAGAACTGTTAGAAGAAAGATGCTGTGAAAACTAGCAATGAAGTGAGAAAATGGTTTGCAGGAGACAACTGCACAGCAGCTGCTCCTCCGGTGTGTGTTTTGCTGATGAAAATCTTTTCGAGGGGTTGTATTGGAACAAACCCATATTAGGAAGTCCCAATTCTGTCTACAGCTAAGACACACACGAAGTCAAAGCACATTAGTGTTTTTTTTCCTTGAATATTTCTCTTTGTTGTCTCTGTAACTGACTATATTAGAAAATTACTCATATTTTCCTTCAGCTTTTACAAAGAAATTTAGGTTAAGCAAGAAGAGAAAAGCAATTTCTAATTTGTTTTTGGGTCTGCGAGTTCTGCAGAATCTGAGGAGAGATGGATATATTTAATCGTAAATAATTCACCTTCCCACCTCTCAAATAGAAACACTCCAGGCACACACGAAAATTCTCCACTTTGGAGAGCAGCCCAAACAGCAGCTCCCCCTTAACTGGCAAACTTTGCTCTAGAAGCTCCTTCACCTCTACCCTGGAGAACTTCAGGGGAACCTGCTCTAGTCCACGCCAACGCCTGTCCCTACCTGCCCACTGGTTCCTAATGACCCCAGTCTTCTGTTGCATCTCTCTCCAGTTATGAGGAATAAAACAGACAGTATTCTCTGCCACCAGCTCCCCATCCCAGCCAGCCTCCCAGCACACAGGGGCCTCCGCAAAAAACCAGAGTGCAAGTACATTTTCTCACAGAATTGTCCTGGATTCTCCTCTGTCTCATGCCTCCTATTTCCCTTCCCAATGTAGAGCCACGCCCTCATCATTTTCAACATTCTTTTGTTGTTGTTCTTGGCTATTCAACAAAATCCATGATCAATGTAGTACTTTAATACGTCTGATTTCACGAGTGCACAAACAACCTTGCCTGAGGCTGGTATGAGCAATCGGAGTCTCCAAGACAGCCCAGGTCACTGTCACTGGCAAGGGCCATCCCCAGATCAGAGCCTTCCGCGCAGCCCAGGGTGCTTGCAGCTGCACCGCGTTCTGGGTCTCACTCTTCTCCGGAGCCAACATCTTTACAACCCATAATATTTTCTTTCTTTCTTTTTTTTGAGACGGAGTTTCGCTCTTGTTACCCAGGCTGGAGTGCAATGGCGTGATCTCGGCTCACCACAACCTCCACCTCCTGGGTTCAAGCGATTCTCCTGCCTCAGCCTCCCAAGTAGTTTCGACTACAGGCGAACGCCACCACGCCCAGCTAATTTTTGCATTTTTAGTAAAGACAGGGTTTCACCATGTTGACCAGGATGGTCTCGATCTCTTGACCTCGTGATCCACCCTCCTTGGCCTCCCAAAGTGCTGGGATTATAGGTGTGAGCCACCGCGCCTGGCAACCCATAATATTTTTAACTGATTATTTTATGCCTTGGAAGAGCTCATTTTGAGACTGCGGTTGAAGCTTTCACATCAGGGAATGATCACACCGCGGGCTGGAGCGCGTTTAGAGTCATTCTGTCCTAAGGTCACCAGCCCTGCTGCGAGAGGAGCAGAAGTGGGCGGGCGGAGGACGCGCTCCCTGCTGGCTGCTGGTGGCACTAGGGGCTCCCGGCAATGAGGCCTGTGAGGGGCGCCTTTCCAGACGCATCAAACCCAGCGTTCAGACACCGAGGATGACACCTGCGAGGGCGACAGCAGGGTCATTGGAAAGGGGCAGGTTGAAGACCTGAAGTACCAATTGCTTGGGCTCCACGCACCATGCTGGGTAGATCCTTTCTTCAAGGCAGCATTCTGAGTCGTTCATGCCCATTTTGCGGACGGGGGATGAAGGCTTCTGAATGTTAACTAACCCGCCAAGTTGAAGAGCCGGAAGGATTTGGACCGAACCCGGGCTGCCTTCCCAAGCTCACCTTCTGCTGGCCCACCTCCGCCTCTCAGGACCTGAGGAACCTGAGGGAAACAAGAGCCCTGTGTTAGTCAGGGTTCTCCAGAGAATAAATAGTTAAAGATCAATAGCTACGAGGAGATTTATTCTAGGAATTGGCTCATGTGGTTATGGAGACTGACAAGTACTCCCATCTGCCGGCTGCAAGCTGGAGAGCCAGGAAAGCCAGTGGTGTAATTTGGTTCAAGTCCAACAGCATGAGAATCGGCATAGCGCTGGGGGAGTGGGGGGCTGTGTAAGTCCCAGGGGACTTACAGGAGGTCAGGTTAAGTCCCAGGATTTGAAGGCCTGAGCACAGATGTCCAAGAAGATGGATGTCCCAGCACAAGTAGAGGGAGGGAATTCGCCCTTCCTCCGCCTTTTTGTTCTTTCAGGCCCTCAGTGGATTGGACGGTGCCCACCCACACAGTGAGAGCAGATCTTCGCCTAGTCCACTGAGTCCAGTGCTAATCTCCAGGGGGCAGCTCACAGACACACCTAGGAATCATGTTCTACCAGCTAAGTGAGTATCCGTTAGCCTAGTAAGACTGACACATAGTTTTAGCCACCACAAGCCCTCTGTACAAGGCCACTGGCCCACTCCCTGGGCTGGCTTCTGATGCTGTCTGCAGGCCAAAGCACCAAGATCTTGGCTAGGGTCCCCGTCCTCTGAGCCATGCAAGGACACTCCTTCCCTCCTGTCTAAAGCCCTTCACCCTTCTTACCACTCAGTTCCAGTGGCCAAGGCTTTGAGGGGGCAGCAGAGAAAGCTGTATATTCAAACCCCTGAAAGAAGATGTCCTACGTTTGTCTTGGATAGAACTAAACCGTCCCACATCCATAGCTGTGGGATCCCTGCCATCCCACAATCATCATATTCACAACCCTGACTTAAGGCACAAACAGAAGCTACTGTCTGACACATGGGCCCTTGGCTGGTACACACAGAGTTGAACCATCTGTTGGGCAGTTTGCCCGGGGCTTGCCTTGCTTTTGGCAGCCCGTATTTATCTACAATGGGCCTCTCTGATATGAGGGTAGGTCTTGCTGGAGGCCAGGATAACAGAGCCTAGGAATTAGGCATGTATCTCCTTCCTTGATTTTCCAAGATGCCTTTACAGAATCCTCAACCTGTTGACGCTTGGTATCAAAGCACTTCCCTTTTCCACAGCTGTACTTAGGAATATAAATAAAGGCAGGAAAGATTGGGAAAGTGGGAACGAGCCCCTTGCAGCTAGCTGTGTGGGGAAGCGGACAGCTCCCCGGTGGGGCCTGTCCTGGCTACTGGAGGCTCCCGGCAATGAGGCCTGTGAGGGGTTCCTTTCCGGATGCATCAAACCCAGAGTTCAGACACTGAGGGCAACACCTGTGAGGGCGACAGCAGGGGTCACCAGAAAGGGGTGGGGTGAAGTCATCATGGTGGGAAGACATCATGGTGGCCACGTTCCCCAGGGCTGCAGAGAATCCAAGCTGTGGCTGCCTACCATGCCTCCTCTATTCCCGTCTTCACACAGCTGCCGACTGTCTGCAAAAAGGAATAAAAAATAAAAGCAGAGTGAACTTGACATCCTATACCTTCCAGCATGATCCCTCTGAACAAAGTAGAAGTGGCGCAAGAGTTGAAGGAAAGAACTGAGAGAGGAGAATGGAAGGTAATGATGAGATCTGATGAGTTGCTGTGGTCAGACCCCAGAAAACCCCACAGCAGCAGCATCAATCCCCTTCCTGTACTCAAGGCTGAGGGATCAAAACTTGAAGCCCAGAGCTGGAGCCTCAGGATTCCTCCCCAAATCACACTTTCATGACTGTGGGCAAACCCTGGAGTCATGTTTCTCATGTGGGCTCATGTTTCTCCGAGAATTGTAGAATATAAGGTAAAATTTATTCTATCCTTTCATCTTCTTGCTTTAAGTTTAGAAATTGCTGGTGGCTTTCCTTTAAAAGCAGTACATTTAAATGTTTATATTAAGTTCTTAAGTTTCTTAAGGCAAAATATTGATGGTACCATCACCATCTTGGTCTGAAAGTCAAGTTTACCTTATAGAAAAGACTTGTGCTCAAGTGAGTCTTCCTCAGTCAAAGATTACATCTTGAAAGTGTATACTACGTTAAGCAACTTTTTTGAAATGTTATCATATTTTAATCGGAATTTCACTCACAACAGGAAGAGTAGACGCTGGTGAGGTCAATGTACTTATTTCACAAAAAGCATTTTTCTCCATTTTATTTTTATGAAAGATCAGTGCCTTGGACATAATGTTCACTTCCATTCAAGAACATCTCTTGATAAGTAGAAATAATTTTTCAGGCAAAAACTTGATGTTCTAAGTTCAATAATAATCTGTTTCTACACTATGCAAAATTCTGGTATGAAGAGAATTTTTACTGACATAGTAACTTTTTTCATATATTTTATTATTAAAGAAAAATAGCCAGGTGTGGTGGCTCACACCTATAATCCTAGCACTTTGGGAGGCCAAGGCATGTGGATTGCTTGAGCTCAGGGTTTAAGACCAGCCTGGGCAACATGGTGAGACCCCCATCTCTATTAAAAAAAAAAAAAAAAAAGAAAAACTCAGCAAACCACCATGGCATGTGTGTACCTGTGTAACAAGCCTGCATGTTCTGCACATGTACCCAAGAACTTAAAGTATAAAAATAAAAATTTAAAAAACTCATAGGATATCCAATAGTCATCAGTTCTCTGGTTTCAAATTTCTGCCAGAAAAGTACTCTACAAATCATCTTGTCTAAAGCAAAAGTCCTTGTTCATAATAGCTGCCACCAATTTCTAACTATTATGTTGCCAACAACAGCATATAGCAAGTCAGTCAGCTCAGTTATTGGGAATATTTTCAGCTGTTAATGTTGGCGTGTGTGCAGCATAGGGTTGGGACTGTGGGTACAGGAGTCATACTTCCCAAGTTCAAATCTTTGTTCACTGTTTACTGTCTAAACTTGGGCAATTGACTAAACCGCAATTTCTTCCTCTTTAAAATGGAGTTAGCGTATTCCTCCTAGAGTTATTGTAAGGATTAAACAGACTTATAGACCTAAGGCGATTATTGCAATGCTGAAGAAATCTTTTCAATTTCTCTTATGTTTCTCAAACTGTGTAGGTCATGCTTGGAGAATGAAGTTTTTAAGTTAGTCGAAAATCTTTTCAGCAAATTTAATTCCTTTGCTATTAAGAAGTCCAATCAATGTTAATGATATTCTTCTGTGTATGTCAATAGTCTTGAAGTGTTATAGCCTATAGCCCATATCACTTAGTTTTTAACAAGAGACTTAATTTTTTAAGAACAGTTTTAGGGTTTCAGAACAGTTGAGAAAATAGTACAGATTTCCCATATACCTGTTCCAAGTTTCCCTCAGGGCAATCATCTTAAATTACTGTTACCACATTTGTTACAATTAATGAACCAATATTGATACATTATTAGTATTAGCTAACATCCGTGCTTTACTCAGATTTCCTTATTTTTACCTGATGTCCTATTTAGGTGTTAGAATCCCATCCAGAATATCACATTACATTTAGTCACCATGTTCCCTTAGGCTCCTCTGGGATGTGACAGTTTCTCAGACTTTTGTTTTTTTTTAATGACCTTAATAATTTTGAGGCATATTGGTCAAATAGTTTGTAGGATACCCCTCCATTGTAATTTTGCGTTTTCTCACGATGAGACTGGAGTTATCTGTTTTGAGGAGGAGGACCCTGAAGGTAACGTTTCATTTTCATCACATATTGAGGGAACATAGTATCAATATGACCTTTCACTGTTGATGTTGACCTTGATGACCTGACTGAAGAAGTGTTTGTCAGATTTCTCCACTGCAAGGTTACCCTTCACCCCGTCCCTTAACCACACTGTGCCCGTTGTAAAAAAGTCACTACAGCCCATACTTGGGAGTGAAAAATTATGCCCCCCTCCTTGAGGGCACAGCATCTACATCAATAATTTGGAATTCTTCAACACGGGATATTTGCCTCATCTTCCCTATTTGTTTATTCAATAATTTATTTATATAAGTATATTTTGTTGTGTAATCTACTACCATTTTATTTATTTTGCTGCTCAAATTGTGTCCCTAGTGTAAAGAAAAGATAAATATTATTTAAGGTGATGGTATCTCAATTATCCTGATTTGATTATATGGATGTATCAAATTATCACATGAACCCCAAAAATATGTATACCTAATATCTTCAATTACCTAAATAATAATCCTTCCAGTTTTCTCACTGGGAGCTCTTTCACGCACACACACAGCTCTTCGTGGTCCTTTAGACATGTTCCCATCACTGCCTTTTTAACAAAACAAACAAAGCACATCTCCTGACTTTCAAGCACTACAAGCTGCTCCAGCCTCCTCGTGTATATTTTCTGCCCCGGTCCTTGACAGACATCTCTCCAAGAAGCCTTGATTTCTTTTACTGAAGAATGGCACCAAAAACTGCTATCTGGGAGCTAGGTGTGCTAATTGCTACTGGGTGTTGTTTTTTTCAGTACTTTCACAGAGCAAGGAAACATATGAATGTATACTCACCTGTATATAAAGACATATCTATAAATATTTCTATGTGTTACCATTTACATCCATATTAGGCTAGACATGAGTTCCTACTGATCTCTCCAGCTCTAATCCATTACAACATACATCATTCTGTTCTCCTAATTCCCTTGCTTGCCTGTAAAACTTCACCTCAAAAGTGAGAATTCTTGTTCCCAACATTTGCCATTTATTTACTCAATTATTTAATTCCAATATATATGTAAGCCATATCATAATTATTGACCCATGGGAAGCAACGTTATCAACTACAGCATAGTGCTTAAATTCAATTCTTTTCACTGTAGTGTTACACACTGAAACATTTCCAAAGCTACCAAGGTCAGCATCTTTCTGCCCCCCCTCACTTCAATGGGGTTGAACATTATCATTTTTAACAAACAAACAATTGGGTGTTATATCAATACAAAAGGAACTTCATGTTCATATGTATATACATACAAATCTATTTCACTTATTTAGAAAAAAGCAAGTTATAGAATAAAAGATAAAATATTAACATTCTATATAAATATAAGATCTGATGTAAATTGTCATCAATAAAGTGTTCATATCCCACACATTTTATCAAGCTTGCATAATATTGTTCATGCAATCTATCAACTGCAATTCACCTTGGCTTTTGCTGATTACAAAAATGTTCTGGCTGGGCATGGTGACTTGTGCCTGTAATCCCAGCACTTTGGGAGGCTGAGACAGATGGATCACCTGAGGTCAGGAGTTTGAGACCAGCCTAGCCAGCATGGTAAAACCCCATCTCTACTAAAAATACAAAAATTAGCCAGTGTGATGGCAGATAGTAATCCCAGCTACTCCAGTGGCTGAGGCAAGAGAATTGCTTGAACCCAAGAAGCAGAGGTTGCAGTGAGCTGAGATCGTGCCACTGCACTCCGACCTGGGTGACAGAGCATCTGTCTCAAAAGAAAAGAAAAAGTTCTCCTTTCTGACCACTACTTTTAAATCTCTACTTTATTTTCTCCTGGGAAATAAACTTTAGGCAGTTGAACCACACCAAGCTTTGACCTCAGCCTGGAATAAACCATACTAATTTGTTGAACCCCAAGCTGAATCTCTCTCTCTCTTTTTTTTTTTTTTTTTTTAAAGATGGGGTTTCACCATGTTGGTCAGACTGGTCTTGAACTTCTGACCTCAGGTGATCCGCCTGCCTCGGCCTCCAAAGTGCTTGGATTATAGGCGTGAGCCACCACACCCGGCCTGAATCACTCTCTCTTTTTTTTTTTTTAGACAGTGTTTTGCTCTTGTTGCCAAGGGTGGAGTGCAATGGCACAATCTCGGCTCACTGCAACCTCAGCCTCCTGGGTTCAAGTGATTCTCCTGCCTCAGCCTGCCGAGTAGCTGAGATTACAGGCACACACCACCATGCCTGGCTAATGTTCTGTATCTTTAGTAGAGATGGGGTTTCACCAGGTTGGCCACGCTGGTCTCTAACTTCTGACCTCGTGATCTGCCCTGCTCAGTCTCCCAATGTGCTGGGATTACAGGCATGAGCCACCATGCCTGGCCTCTGATGATAGCTTCTTTTGCTGTGCAGAAGCTCTTTAGTTTAATTAGATCCCATTTGTCAATTTTTGCTTTTGTTGCAATTATTTCTGGTGATTTCATTATTAAATATTTACCTGTGCCTATGCCCTGAATGGTATTGCCATTTTCTTCTAGAGTTTTTATAGTTTTGAGTTTTAGATTTAGGTCTTTAGACCCATCTTGAGTTAATTTTTTTTAAAAGTGTAAGGAAGGGGTTCAGTTTCAATTTTCTGCATATGGCTAGCCAGTCCTCCCACCACCATTTATTAAGTAGGGAATCCTTTCCCCATTGCTTTTGTCAGGTTTTCAAAGATCACATGGTTGTAGATGTGTAGCCTTATATCTGAGTTCTCTATTTTGTTCCACTTGTCTGTGTTTGTTTTTGTGCGAATACCATGCTTTGTAGTTTTGTAGCCTTGTAGTATAGTTTGAAGTCTGGGAGCGTGACGCCTGCAGCTTTGTTCTTTTTCCTTACGATTATCTTGGCTATATGAGACCTTTTTTGGTTACATCTAAATTTCAAAATAGTTTCTTCTAATTCTGTGAAGAATGTCAATGGTAGTTCAATGGGAATAGCATTTAATCTATAATTTACTTTGGGCAGTATGGCCAATTTCATGACATTGATTCTTCCTATCCGTGAGCAAGGAATGTTTTTGCATTTGTTTGTGTTCTCTGATTTCCTTAAGTAGAGGTTTGTCGTTCTCCTTGAAGAGGTCCTTCATTTCCCTTGTTGTTTTTTTTTTTCGCTTTCTTCTGGAGGTTTATTTTGGATAAAATAGTTGAAGACAGATTACAATGAGACATTGTACAAAAAGACTAGAAAATAATTTAAGGGGGTATTTTAAGCATGGGATACTGACACACTCATAAACGTGTTTGCTCCCAAGCTCTTACTAAAGAAAATAAGGTTTTTCTCCCAAAAATAACCCAGTTACACCAGTAAATCTTCCCAGTTCTGAAAATCTGAAGCGATTGGTAGATACTCCATTAAATGTAGAACATTGTCTGCTCAAAATATTTGTAATATTATGCAGTGACAAACATTTCCCACATCTATATAGGGTTAACCATAGTTTTCAGCAAAGCAACAAGTGCTTTACTGATTTTGTCTTTTTCAGTTTACAGATAGCTCCAATTTCATGAAACCCTACTGTACCAAGTCAGCAAATAAACAGCAACAGCCTCGCCGAGCCACGCCAATGGCAGGGACCCTATCTCCTGTCCTTTCTGCCAGCTTTCCTCTCTCCGGAGAGTAAGTGCTTGGGCTTCATATCAAACACATGTCCATCCGCCTCCCCTTTCTTCCCTAATCGATTCATCTTCTTCTGAGCATTCTTCATCATAGTCTTGGCTTTCTCCACCATCTTGACATCCCAAAGACCAGAAACCTCACTTGGAGTTCGAGGGCAACTCCAACTCTGGGCCACAGAGGAGGCGGGAGCAGAGTCTTCCCCTTTCTTTTCCTAGTGACGCTCCGGGATCGTCTTGCCTGGACTGCGTAGTGGGCGTTGTCTTTATTGTCAATGTCAACACCAAGACTACGTGACTCATTCTCCAAAACTGTTCTCTGAAGCTTCTTAGCAGTTCGAGGCATCCTGGGTCCCTGTGTATTCTTTTCTTTGGACTCCAGAATTTTCAACTTCTTTTTCTCTCTAATCTGCTTTGCCTGCTGTCAGATTTCCAGCATCTCCTCATCTTCACTCTGAGTCACTGTCATACTCTCTGGCAGCTGTTCTCAGTCCTTCTCCTTTTTCTAATTCTTCCCATTTCTTCATGATGGCTGGATCAATATAATCAGCTATATTATGGCCTTCCCAGATTTCTGGTATCTTATCATGTTTTTCAGACGAATTCATTAAATCCCAGTACTTCTGAAGACCCAAAATTTAATCACCTCCAATTTCCAGCTCAAGATCTCATTTCCTCTTCTTCTTGGGCTCCTCCATTTCCATCCTCTTTCTGCGTGCCACCACTCCTTCGGGGATCAAAGGGGGCCTCTGCTTATCGTTCCTCCTGGTTGGGACAGCCAGGTGCAGTCTATTCAGCGCTTCATTCACTTTATTTCCCTTCATTTTGGTTTCCACTCGATGAGCCAAAAGTCTATCGCAAGCCTTTGTTTTAACTTTAATAACACCTTCCTCAGTCAGGATTCTGGTCTTTATTACAGGGAATCCTTCAGCCTGCAAATCTGTAAATATTTTCTGATCGTCTTCAGAAAGTTTGGCTATTCTTTTCACATCACACTTGTTGGCTACAACTATAAGAGTCTTGTTGATGAGGAGAGGTCTGATGTTCTGGAAGAGTTCTAGCTGCTCCCTCAGCCCGTGCCTACACTGCTCAGACAAATCCATCACGTACGGGACTGCAGCACGGAGATGGGCAAGGGCAGTGATCTGCATCGCAATGGTGTTCCTGTCCTCCAGAGGATGGTCCAGGATCCCAGGAGCATCTACAGTCTGCCAGTGTAGACAGTTAGAATCCATGTGCCCAACAAACAGAGACTTGATTATGAACGCAGAGGGTCAGACATCCACATCTGCTCTTGTCACCTTATTGATGAAGCTGGACTTCCCAACATTTGGATACCCACCCAAAAGCAGAGTCCTGGTATTTGGATCAATGGTTGTGGCAAAGGGGATAAATGCTGATGCACTTGCTCCAAATACTCCAAACTCTGCTTCTGCCTCTTGATCATGGTGCACATCCGCCCTGGGGCTGCACACTTCAGCTGCTTGCGTAGAGGGAGTCGGGGGTCGCTGTACTTCATCAGCCAAAGTCATCTTTAGCAACATTGTCCACTAAATTTTTGGCAACATTTATTTGCCCCAGAGCCAAATTGTAGTGATCTTGTTGTAGAGAATATTCATCAAATCAGCATAGAACAGATGAATGTCATCCAACTTAGGGAAATCTGTTAGAATTTGCGAAAGTCTATCATGGTAATTCTGTTGAGCAAATTTGACTTTTCTCATGTAAAAATGTCCAATGCGATGAATTTGGCAATGTTTATGAGTAACAGCTGGAGTCTTCTGTTGAGTCTTTGACAACTTCAAGTCAATAAAGTCCTTGGCAGACGGCACCACCGTAATTTTCTTGAAGTTGTAGTGTGCCATGCCGGCTGCCGTGTGCACGCAGGGACTGGGCGCTCCTGCCACTTCCCTTGTGAGCTGTATTCCTAGGAATTTTATTCTCTTTGTAACAGTTGTGAATGGGAGTTCATTCATGATTTGCCTCTCTGCCTGTCTATTGGTGGTATATAGGAATGCTTGTGAATTTTGCACATTGATTTTGTATCCTGAGACTTTGCTCAAGTTGCTTATCACCTTAAGAAGCTTTGGGGCTGAGATGAAGGGTTTTTTAGATGTAGGATCATGTCCTCTGCAAACAAAGACAATTTGACTTCCTCTAAGAAAATAGAAAATAATCAAATAGACACAATAAAAAATGATAAAGGGGACATCACCACTGACTCCACAGAAATACAAATAACAATCAAAGAATACTATACACACATCTGTGCAAATAACTAGAAAGTCTAGAAGAAATGGGTAAATTCCTGGACATATACACCCTTCCAAGACTGAAACAGGAAGAAGTTGAATCCCTGAATAGAACAACAACTTCTGAAATTGAGGCAATAATAAATAGCTTACCGACCAAAAAAAGCCCAGGACCAGATGGATTCACAGCTGAATTCTACCAGAAATACAAAGAGGAGCTGATATCCTTTCTTCTGAAACTATTCCAAATAATTGAAAAGGAGAGACTCCTCCCTAACTCATTCTATAAGGCCAGCATCATCCTGATACCAAAACCTGGCAGAAATAAAACAAAAAAAGAAAACTTCAGGCCAATATCCCTGATGAAAATTGAAGCAAAGATTATCACTAAAATACTGGCAAACCAATTACAGCAGCCCATCAAAAAGCTTACCCACCGCGATCAAGTTGGCTTCATCCCTGGCATACAAGGCTGGTCCAAGATATGCAAATGAACAATAGTAATCCATCACATAAAGACATCTAAAGACAAAAACCAAATGATTATCTCAATAGACACAGAAAAGGTTTTCAATAAAATTCAAAATCCCTTCATGTTAAAAACTCTCAATAAATTAGGTACTGAAGAAACATACTTCAAAATAATAAGAGCCATTTATGACAAACTGACAGCCAGTATCATACTGAATGGGCCTAAGCTGAAAGCATTCCTCTTGAAAACTGGTACAAGACAAGGGTGCTCTCTCGCACCAGTCCTATCCAACACAGTATTGGAAGTTCTGCCCAGAGCAATAAGGCAAGAGAAAGAAATAAAGGATATTCTATATCCACTCTTACTCAAATTCTATTAAATCCCAAATTGTAAGGACTATTGTCAAAGCTAAAACAAAATTATGTTGGAGATTTATGGCATATATCACTGCAATGAGGTCAAACTTTAGGAACTTTTAGCTTCTAACAGTTTAAACAAGGAGATATATTAAATATACTGATTTTAAAGTCATCCCTCTGACTTCCTCGACTAACCAATATTTTTTCTGAAGATATACAAAACTCAAAATTAAATAAAAAGGTACTTTTGAAAATAACTCCTGCATTTCTAAAATGTGAATGAGGCAGCACAGAGGCAGACTGACAGCTACCTCCACCGTTTAAAAGGGAGTTTCTGAGGCAGTTTTAATGAAGTGGCAATTTTGCAGACAATGTAAAATTCAAAAACACTAAGGAGATGTTAGGCACAAACATGCCAAGCACATGAAGCAGCATCCGGCAGTTTCCCTTTGGAGCCCTCCTGTGCCAGCGTTTCACTTAGCTAAGAAAAAAGTCTCCTATTTTCAGCAATCTTCTTAAATGCTTTAATTTGACACTATCTGAAAGTGATACTTAAGTTGTGGTAAATCACATTAATTGCAGCAGTCTACTCTCTATTATTTCACCATCGCTTCCATTTCTCTCTAAGCTCTCAAAGACCCCATGGAAAATGAAATATTCCTTAAAGGAAGTGCTTTCATTCTTAGTGACTTTTTGCCCATCTTGGTCAATTATTTTGACATATGCTAAAGCAGTAGCAGTCATATGAAAAGGCCAAGGAAAGCTTAAGGGCACGGCTCATCTCTAAGAACACATTTGGTTGTGTTTCTATATCACCTGCTTCAAGAGTCTAATTCTTGTTTTTAGCCACTCTTTATCCAGAGAACCTGGTTCTCTACCTCTAATGTTGGAGTAATGAGTTCATGAAGTGCCAGCAGCCATGGGGACTGGGGCTCCGGGTACCCATAAAGAAGACACAGACCCTGCCCTCCAGGAAGTTCAGGGAAAGAAGCGCAGGCCAATCAGTGCTCCAGAGATAGGGTGGCCCCACTTCTGAGTCTTCTGTTTATTGAGGGCCTTTGTGCTGGATACTGGGCTGCTCCTCCATATTCATTACCATCTGATATGGTTTGGATTTGTGTCTCCACCCAAATCTCATGTTCACTTGTAACCCCCAGTGTTGGAGGTGGGGCCTGGTGCAAAGTGATTGGACATAGGAGCACTTTCTAGTGGTTTGGCACCATCCTTCTAGTGCTGTTCTCTTGTTAGAGTTCTCACGAGACCTGGTTGTTTACAAGTATGTAGCATCTTCCGCCTCTCTCTTCCCCCTGCTCCAGCCTGCTTCCCCTCTCCATGTTTCCCCTTATACCATGATTGTAAGTTTCCTGAGGCCTCCCCAGCCACATTTCCTGTACAGCCTAGGGATTCGTGAGCCAATTAAATGTCTTTTCTTATAAATTATCTGGGCTCAGGTATTTCTTTATAGCAGTACAAAAATGAACGAATACACGGTCCCTCCTGACAGCAATACCATCCTGCAGGGAGAAAGCCTTACATTCAGGTAAGGATGCCTGGTCTTCTGGACACTTTGTTCCTTTTTATAGGCCCATAGTTTAGGCCTCCTTGAAGAGGCAACTTGGGTTGAATTGTAATTCAAGATCAGGTTAATTCAAGCACAGGGCTTTTTACCAAGAAATAGTTAAATGATTGAACAATTGATACAGCTGTACAGGTGCCTCCCAAATGAATATCAGCCTAAATGCTCCCAATACTTACACTTGTTAATATGGCTATGTAACATATCACTCCCAAATTTAGGATTTAAAACAATACTGATAATGTCTCATGGTTTCAGTGGGTTAGCTCAGAAGCAGCTCAGCTGGGTGGTTCAAACTCAGGGTCTCTCATGACGTTGCAGTCAAATGTCAGTCGGAGCTGGAGGCTCCTGTTCTAAGGTGTCTCACTTACAAGGCTGCCAAAGTGGTGCTGTGATTGGTAGGAGCCCTTAATTCTTCTCCATGTGAGTCTGTAGATGGAGCTGCTTGAGAGTCCTTGCAGAGTGGTGGCTGGCTTCCCTAGAGAGAGATCTAAGAGGTGGAAGGTACAATGCCTTCTGTGACCTAGCCTTGGAATTCATACTCCATCACTTCCTCCGTATTCTATTGGTCACCCAGAGCCAGCCCTGAGTCACTGTGTAAGGGAACTAACAAGGACGTGAATATGAGGGGCAGGAATCATTGCAGGCTCTCTTGCAGACTGGTTACCACATGCAGAAATTGGGACTTAAATCCAGACCTGTCTTGATGGCAAAGTTCTTGTAGCTTACTGTGCTGCCCTCCCCAAGCAGCCTTTCGAATCTGTGGATCCCTCTAAGTGGAATGTCCCCTTCAGCCTGCAACAGTACAGAATGGATAAAGTAGTGACAGTGAGCATGTTGGAAGAGAAGCAGAGAAGCCTAGGCTCCTTGAGCATGGTTATAAAACGGGGACCAGTGAGCGGAGGATGGGCTCAAGAAGAACTGAGAGGGGCTTGGTTAACGACCCCACCGAACATTCGCTTTTTGCTGTCCCTGGCATCAGCTATCAGAAAGTCTCTATGGGTGAGTCTCTGAGCACCCTTTTATGGCATTAACTACACTCCTGCAAAGCTTCTGTCAGATGGGTTTGCATCTTCTTAGGCAGTGCCAGGTTTTCAGAATATAAATTGACTTGATCTGCCCTGGAAAGTCTACTGTGTTTAACCCAAGCTTCAAGTAACAGCTCAATCCATGCTGCTCCCCCAGGGTTTGCGGAACAGAGTCTCAGTCGGAAACACTGCAATGAGCAGCTTGCTGTTTTTCTCTTTTTCTTCCCCTGTATTTTATATTGATATTTAATGAATGTTTCTTTGGTGGTGTCGCTATGTTTATTATTTAAACTCTGAAAATTGAAGCCCTGTGGCTTCCATCGAAAATAATTGTTGACTCACCACAGAGAACCATATAAATATTGTTCTGAATTCTAATGACAATGACCATTGGGATTATTTTATCGTGAAGTGTAATTTCCATTATTTTGAAAGCCCTCAAGTCTGCATCTGAGAAGAAAAGCTATTTCCTTGGCTATCTTCAGTAGGTTTCTTTTCTTCTTTCTTCATTTTTCCTTCCCTCCTTGCCACGTTACACATCCTCCTTTTATTTCTTCCTTTGTTATTGTATTATTATTATTTTACAATATTATTATTTTACAGTCTCACTTTGTGGCCCAGGCTGGGTACAGTGGCATGATCTCGGCTCACTGCAGCCTCTACATCTCCGGTTTGAGTGATTCTTCTGCCCCAGCCTCCCGAGTAGATGAGACTACAGGCACGTGCCACCACACCTGGCTAATTTTTGTATTTGTAGTAGAGATGGGGTTTCACCATATTGGCCAGGCTGATCTTGAACTCCTGACCTCGTGATCTGCATGCCTCAGCCTCCCAAAGTGCTGGGGTTACAGGTGTGAGCCACTGCACCCGGCCTGTATTGTTATTGTTATTACTGTTGTTATTATAAACGAGGCTTCAGGACTTAGAGCTTGACAACTAAATACCTGCTTACATCATGTTGTATTTTCAAGTTGTTTTTACAAATGTCATTTCATCTGATGCACATTATAACTGAATGAGGTAAATTGGACAAGCTTCATCCCTATTTACAGATGAGGACAAAGCCCCAAAGATTTGCAGAGCTGCAGAGCTACAGGGCTGGTTAGAGCAGGTCTCTCCTCCCAGAGAAGACCTCCCTCCCTTAGTATTATCCTGCCCCCTCTGGGCCTGGGAAACCTAAAGATACTTTGTGAACACATGTCTGTATCTACAGAAAACTCTGCTAAAGAAACTACCCTAGACCAAGATGTGCTCTAAGGGGCTGGCGAGCTCTGTTATTTTTTAAGTTACTTTTTATTTATTTTTTTATTTACTTTGGACAAGATTGTATTAAAGGTCTTTACAGAGCAACATCCAGACTCCAGAAAACAGCTGCCAAGGAGACCCTGTTATGTGTGGGGACTGGCTGGGGCATGGCAGGCAGCTCTGGCTTCCCATCCTTCTGTTCTGAGATGCAGGTGGTGAGCAGTATCTCATCTTTGGGTTCCATGATGCTCACGTGGTCAGGCAGGGCTTCTTAGGGCCAGTCTTACAAGTTGGGTCCCAGGGCAGCATGGTCTTCACCTTGATGCCCAGCACACCTTGTCTGAGCAACGCATGGCGCATGGCAGTGTCAATGTAGTAGCTAACAGGGTCTCCGCTGTGGATCATCAGGCCATCCACACACTTCATGGATTTAGCTCTCTGTCCTCAGAGTTTCCCGGACACCATGACCTTGCAGCCTTTGGCCCCACTCTCCATGATGAACCATGGCACACCACAGCAGGCCCTCTGCACAGCAAGCCCTCACAGGAGATTGTAATGCAGAGACGCTGCCTTGGCAATGGCGCAGAGGCCTCTCAGGCCTCTCGTGGCCACCTTTTCAGCATAAAGGTCTCCACCACCCTCTGGAAAGCCAAACCTCTTCTGAACTACAGCAGTCAGTTCCAGAATCCGCTGGCCATTCTCACCAACAACATTTGTGTTCTGGTGGTAAGATAATGATTTCTGTCCCGGTTGGTGTAACCTGGCCGTCAACTCCAGAGTGGCCATCTTCAGCCAGCTCCTGAGTAACAAACTCATTCAGTTCAGCTTTGAAGATGCCTTCAATGACCAACTTCCTCTCCTTGGAAATTTGCACAGCCATCTTGCTATGGCTTTCCGCTGAAAGGAAAGGCTTAATTTACTTTAAATTTTTTTTTTAATTAAAAGAATGAGTCAAAGATAGGATTACAGAAAATAATTTGAAACTAATCAGATTTATCTGAGTTAATATTTTGCCATAGATGCTTAAAGTCCATCCGTCTCTCTTATGAAATGAAACGTTACAGAAAGAGCTCATTCTCTCCCCCTCACCATTCCTTGCCTCCCTCCCAAGGCGACTTCCAACCTGAGTAGTGGTTTCTTCAGTTTCATGTTCTACTGTTATATACAAGAATGAGCCATAATTCACATGCCATTAGCTTTGCATTTTGCAAGAATTTGCATGAATGCTATGCTATTGCATGTACAGACTTTAGGCTCACTGCTGAATAATGCCCTAGCTTCTTTCACTTTTCCGATGTCTCACTCCTCTGGTTATGCCTGGTTGGTCTCGGAAATAATATGGGGAATGTCCAAGATATTAGCAGTTCCTACTGCAGCAAGTGCTGGTTTCTATGACTCTGGTTCCCTAAGAGAGGCAGAAAAGCAAGGGACTAAGCTTCCAATGAGCACTTAATCGCAGGAGCACAGCCCAGGTAGGCAGTAAAGGCTGACGACATCCCACGACAGACTGGAACCTGAATTGATATTTTATAGAGGAAAACCAGGCCCAGAAAACAGGATGGTTGCTTTAATGTCACACTTTCAGAAATTGGTAAAGCAGGGACCAGCTCAGAGCTTATGACACCTTTGTACTAAACACATTGCCTTTAGGCAGTCTCATTCTTCCTCCAGCAAACAGCAGACCATCGATTTGATTATTTTCTTGCCTCTGCTCCCCTGAAGGAAATGCCAGAAAACTATAAAAGTTCAATCCCTGAAATCCTGGCAAGCTACATTGGACTTAAGTGCCTGCGGTTTCTGGAGGCAGCAAGGATCACAGAATTTGGGGGAAGATCAGGTCACAGGGCTGAAGCGTAACCTCAAGATCTTTTTGCCTGGATCGCCCTCTGGTGGTAGATTCAATAACAACCGCTCTAATTCATCCTCTGAAATGCAAAGTGGTTGCAGCTCAAGTTTTCCTTGCTCCTCCTGGGACTCGCTTCTTCCTCATTAAGGCATCCCTGTGCCCACTCTATACAAGACACATTTACTTTGAGCTGCATCCCTGAGATAATTGGCTCCAAACCAATATTTCCGTGTCAGTCACAGTAACTGGAGTTCTGTGGCGTGGAAAAGAAGAATGCATTGTTCCTGCCCCCAGAGGAATTTAAGTGAACTGGGTGAGACAGGCATACAAGCAGCTGACCAGACTCTGAGTCAGTGTGACCGAGAATGGACAGGCTGAGGGAGTACAGAGGAAGGAGGAAATGAATGTCAGCCACAGACCCCAGAGGCCTTGGTGGGGAAGCTAGTGTCTGAGTTCTCAAGGAACAATGGGAATTCTGAGGTTGGGGAGGGGCAGGGGCACCGGAGGAGGGGAGGACAGGGCATGGTCCATTTCCCATTCTCACTCTGTTTCCCCTTCTCCTTGGGGCCTTGATCTTGTTCCCTTCCTCCTTACTTACCCCAGTCCCAATAGCCCTGCAATTCATGACCACCTAAAGTGTCCATTGTCTGGGAGAAGGTTGGGCTCCTCAGCCTCTTCCAACAGACCTTCCTCTCTGCTTCTTCCGATGGGTCCTTCTGACATCTGAATCAAGTGACCGAGGCATAAATCTCAATCATCGAGGTTTATTAAAGCAGCTTTAGGGTGCATATGGGAAAAACAAAAGCCACAGGCATATCTGTGACTGTTCTTCTCAAAAGAGTTTCAGGGGATTTAGCATTTACACACTTCCTTAAATGGGGGGAAGGCACTTGGGGGGAAGGCACTTAGGGAAAAGGGCAGATAGGTAGTAAAGCGAAAGGCTACATTCCTGTGAGACTCTAATTACTGCCTGGTAAATCTACATTTTACACAAGATAAATTGGATGTTTGAAAAAAAAAAAAGGAGAGTAAAGGAAGAGTCAAGTATTCAGGTGTCTCTGGGTAGGTAGAAGAATGAGTCTTGTCTTTATTCTGCACCTGTGCTCCAATCTAAGCTTGTGATGGACATTACTCACATGGAATCAAACAGACTTTAATTTTAGGAGCTAAGATGGGCATGGTGGCTCATGCCTGTAATCCTAGTACTTTGGGAGGCCAAGGTGGGCAGATAACTTGAGGCCAGGAATTCAAGACCAGTCTGAATGACATGGTCAAACTCCGTCTCTACTAAAAATACAAAAATTAAGGCCGGGCACAGTGGCTTATGCCTTTAATCCTAGCAATTTGGGAGGCCAAGGCAGGTGGATCACCTGAGGTCAGGAGTTTGAGACCAGCCTGACCAACATGGTGAAACCCTGTCTCTAGTAAAAATACAAAAATTAGCTGGGTGTGGTGGTGCATGCCAGTAATCCCAACTACTCAGGAGGCTGAGACAGGAGAATTGCTTGAACCTGGGAGGCAGAGGTTGCAGTGAGCCAAGATCACACCATCGCACTCCAGCTGGGCACCAAGAGTAAAACTCCTTCTCAAAAAAAAAAAAAAAAAAAACATGGCCGGGCGCGGTGGCTCATGCCTATAATCCCAGCACTTTGGGAGGCCGAGGCGGGTGGATCACGAGGTCAAGAGATCAAGACCATCCTGGTTAACAAGGTGAAACCCCGTCTCTACTAAAAATACAAAAATTAGCTGGGCATGGTGGCACGTGCCTGTAGTCCCAGCTACTCGGGAGGCTGAGGCAGGAGAATTGCTTGAACCTAGGAGGCGAAGGTTGCAGTGAGCCGAGATCGTGCCATTGCAGTCCAGCCTGGGTAACAAGAGCGAAACTCTGTCTCAAAAACAAAAAACAAAACAAGTTACCTGGCCATGGTGGCACATGCCTGTAATCCCAGCTACCCAGGAGGTTGAGACAGGAGAATCACTTGAACCCAGGAGGCGAAGGTTGCAGTAAGCTGAGATTGTGCCACTGCACTCCAGCCTGGGTGACAGAGCAAGACTCCATCTCAAAAATAATAATAATGAACAAGGCTAGAATCTAATAACATGTGTACTATACTTTCTTTTGAAATGTATGTTTTTTTCTCTCCAATTCCACATTTCCACGAAAGACAAATCATATTAGTACCAATTTATTTGCAAAATATGTTTTAGTCTCATTATCCTTGGCCTGATTAATTGCATAAGGCACAGCTAAATAATGACTGGGCCATATAGGATTTCTTTTAAATTATCTGTCACCTAGGTTACAGTGAAGTGGCACAACCATGGCTCACAGCACCTCAACATCTTGGGCTCAAGCAATCCTCCCACCTCAGACTTGGGTAGCTAGGACTGCAGGCATATGCCACCAGGCCCAGTTAATTTATTTTTGGTGGAGATGGGGCCTTGCCATGTTACCCAGGCTGGTCTTGAACTCCTGCCCTCAGGCATTCCTCCCCTCTTAGCCTCCTAAAGCACTGGGATTACAGGTGTGAGCCACCGTGACCAGACAAGGCCCCTTTTCAACTGGCTTTGCTGAAACTTTTCCTAAGGAATCTCAGACTTTTTAAAAAGCCTCTCGAGGTTAGCCAATCCAAGGTTTTATCTGTGCCTGCAGATACCTGTATGAATTGGGAACATTCCTTTCTTCTCAGGCCAGGAGCAGTGGGTCACACATATAATCTCAGCACTTTGGAAGCCTGAGGCAGGAGGATCACTTGAACCCAGGAGTTCAAGACCAGCATGGGCAACATAGGGAGACACTCTCACAATCAATCGATCAATCAATCAATCAATCAATCAATAAGCAAGCCAGGGGTGGCAGCACATGCCTGTGGTCCCTGCTACTTGGGAAGCTGAGGTAGGAGGATCACTTGAGTCCAGGAGGTTGAGGCTATAAGAAGTGTGATTATGCCATTGCGCTCCAGCCTGGGAGAAGGAGTAACATCCAACTCAAAAAAATTTCTCTCTTCTAAGGTCTCAAAATAACTTGAGGTTCCCAGGCTTGTTAGAAAGTGACATTCTTACTTACCATGGGACAGGAACTTTGTAAAGGAATTGCATAGACAAGGTAATAGGCCAGTCTTTCCAGTGGATTTTTATCAGTTCTATAAAGTCAACCTCTATTTCTCAAAGCTTTCTGGTCGTGTCTGAATATATACAATTCCAATTAAAGCCTTGGTAAAATAACCAATGTCTCTAATTGTGTCCTGTTACAAAAGAAAACAGATTCTTACTAAACTTATGCAAATAACCATGTTGCCATAAATTAATAATACAAATAGTTTCCAAATTCCTGGAGAAATCAGCTAGAGAGAAATAAATATGCTTCAAATATTGCTCAAAAGAGTATACTTTATTTAATTTGTTTTGTGCTATAAATAGTTCAAAAGAAAAAAGTTGGCTGGGTGCAGTGGCTCACACCTGTAATCCTAGCTCTTTGGGAGGCCAAGGCGGGTGGATCACCTGAGGTCTGGAGTTTGAGACCAGCCTGGACAATATGGCAAAACCCTGTCTCTACTAAAAAATACAAAAATTAGCTGGGCATGATGGCATGCACCTGTAATCCCAGCTACTCAGGAGCTAATGCCGGAGAATCACTTGAACCTGTGAGGCAGAGATTGCAGTGAGCCGAGATTGCTCCACTGCATTCCAGCCTGGGCAACAGAGTGAGACTCTATCTCAAAAAAAAAAAAAAAAAATGTTTTCTTGACTCTGGAAAACAAAAGAATCAGCAATGTTTCAAACACAAAAGTAAAACAAGTTATTTCAGTCCTCTGTTAGTTCAGTCCCATGTAATTAACTCTTGTTCTGTTTGATATAGAGTTTGAAATCCTCATGAATGTATCAGCGTTTTTTGATTGTTTTGATAAAGAGTTTTGCTGTTGCCCTGGCTGCAGTGCAGTGGCACAAACACAGCTCCCTGCAGCCTTGAACAATCAGGCTCAATGGATCTTTCCACCTCAGTCCCCCAAGTAGCTGGGACCACAGGCACATGCCACCAAGCCTGGCTAATTTTTGTATTTTTATAGAGACAGGATTTCACCATGTTGCCCAGGCTGGTCTTGAACTCCTGTGGGTCAAGCAATCCACTGACCTCTGCCTCCCAAACTGCTGGAATTCTA